AAAAAAAAGAAGAAATCTGCCCCAGATCAGAAGCCGTCAAATATGTTCCAAGCGTAATTACCGCTAACTTTTCCAAAGCCAATGAATTCATGCTTTGCGTTGTCTTGTATAGAACTTTGTTAGCTCCTAATGCTAGGTAAACGGAAAGATATGTTGTTGTATTATTCTTGTTATTGCACCTAGCGTTGATTTGCAGAAAACCTTGATTTTCATCGGCAGTCTGACAGGCTGTCCAGCAGGTGGGTCAAAGCCGAGGCTTAATTTATGACCGACAATGAGAGACTGAAGGTGGACGAGAGAAGCAGAAAAACAGTAGTCCGACACTTGTGTTAAGGCAAATGAAAGAATAAGATCAGCTATGACAAAATTCGTTTGAGAGCTAAGAAAGGATGTATAGAAATGGGCAAACAGATCACACGAGGACGATTTTGTCTGAGTGTCTGCTTTCAAAGCGCAAGCTGGCGTTGGGTGGAAGGTGGGCGTTTACAATGCCCTACGGTATGATATCGCTGCTGTTTTGAAAAGGCCTGTGATGCTTGCGAAGGTGTCTCACGAAAATCAAAGCAAACCATATGCAGGAAAATAAATATGGAAACCAGATATTTGTGTGGTCAGTTTAATTTTATTGTTCCCTACACAGAACACAAGTCAAAGCAGTCGGGTTTCTCCGTTCTTCTCGAAATTTGCTACTCTTGTCTAACAGCACATAGAAGGTGATGGTGCCAGTTAATTTATACGGTGATGAAGAACATCGGACTTTCCCACTTTTCAATTAAGTGTTGATGTCCAACCCACAATACTCATCGAAATTTAAGTAGTTTATTTTGGTCTTGAGGAGTTTGTGACGGCGTGCCCACCCCAGCTGTCCAGTAGACCCCGGTCGTTCGGCCGGACTGGCGTGGTCGATGTCAGCTCAACTTCCGCAATAAACATTCATCATGATGGCAGAAGACATCAGACATCAGAGTAATGTTGTACGTATGGAGCTTCACTTTATCCCACCTGAGGGAACAAATGGCTCTGAGGCTTGTAGACTGTCCGCGACGAAAGTAATTACATCACCATGGTAATGCCTGATTAGTAGCATGAAACATCGGGAACAAGGAAAATTATATGTTGATTTTTGACAAGCCGTATGCTCCAATGATGCAAAAAGTCTTTAAAAGTGTGTCAGTAATAATTCTGCAGTGTTTGCTCCAAGAAACGGTCTGCCGGTCGTTCAAAGGCATTTCCCAAAATCTCCTTTCTGCCTCTCTTCTGTCATCTGTGATAATTTTTTGCCAGCAGTACTGAAAAGAGAACGCCGATTTAATAGTTGTCTTTTGAAATTGTCATTTTAGATGGAAATAGGATCGTAGAAATTCTACATAATAGCACCACTATTAGAGGCATAAATATAACTGCAATCAGTACCATACATGCTTTCAATGCTTTTGCTACGGTAGCCACGAGTCCCAAAGTTAAGGGTATATTTCTGTTTGCGATGCATTCTAACCATATCGAGTACCATTTAATAAGGTTGGCCTAAAAGTTCTTTGCAACGGTTGGCTAAATAACTCAAAGTGCGTCGCCTAGATTACG